GCTCTAAAGATTGGTCCAGCTCAAACAAGCTCGTCAAAATGACACTTGCAATCAACGTCGATCCGGAATTCATTCAGATTGTCATGGCCGAAAATCTAGCCTGCGACAGCTATAAAAAGCTTTGTCGCTTTCTTCAAAGAAACAGCATCGCTGCCGTTGAAACGAGTATCACCGACTTCCTCGACCTCACAGAGAACTTTGAGAAGTATTCATCCTGCCAGGCTTATATTCTGGCTCATAAATCGATGGTCTCTAGTCTTCATTCTCTCGGTTCACCTCTTCCCTCTCTCGTATACTGTCTGGTGTTAATCCGTACGGTATCCATAAAATACCCTCAATGGGCATCCACCCAAAGATACCACTTCTCTGTTGCAACTTCTGTCAATCCTGCTCCTACACTTGACACTCTATATACAACTCTCCAAGACCACATTAGATTGGCTGAGAGCATAGCGCCTACTCCAGTACCTCACGCACAAGCTCATGTTACAGGTCCCAAGTTTCAGAGAAACAAGAAGTGGGATGGTCCCAACTGCCAATGGTGTAATGGTCCGCATGATGACACGAAATGCTTCTTTAAATACCCAGAACAGCGTGCCGAGTATATGAAGAGATTTCCTAGGGCCAATTATACCGAAAATAAAAAGTGGCGTTCTGAGTTTCAAAAACGTCACCCACCTAGCAAAATTTCCACTCATTACTCTGGCTTTGATGCCCGTTTTGAGAACTATGATCCATTTCGAAAGGATACCAACGACCGCTTTCAGCCATCACTTTTTCTATCACAATCATCCTCAAGTTGTACAGCTGCTAACCCATATTTTGTGGATTTTAATCCAAGTCCTTTCCAATAGGGTTGCGCGGGAGTTTTGAGAACACCATTAACTCCCACCTACAATTCTTTCGCGAAGAGTAAACAAAAGGCTATTACAGTATCCCCATCTCAGATAGAGCCACGCCAACATAAATGTAACTTTCGCAACGAGGATCATCATCTGTGCTCGACCAGCACTGGAATTAATTCCGCATTTGCTGCAGCAGTCCCGGCTGCAAGTTCTCGTGATATCTGGCTTCATGATGATGGTGCCTCAGTTCATATCACTAATGATATAAACGCGTTCTTCCGTTATCGGCCAGTATCTGGGTTGCCTATCATTAAAACAGGGGGAAGTCCAGTTCAGCCTGTCGGGCTTGGCTACATCAAGCTTCGCGTTCTCCGGCAAGATGATTCAGTCAATGAGATTGTCCTTGAAAATGTTCTCTACATTCCTGGCTTCCCACTCAACATTTATTCTGGGTGGCTTCATGATCTTCGGGATGGATGGGATAAACATCGGGTACTATATGAAGCGGACGGTTCTGAAGTTTGCCAGCTTCTTCGTGGACAAAATTGTTTACATTTGCGCACCGCCTCTTCTCCGTATGTTCTTAATACTAATGATCCGTCTATGCGATCCTCAACCTTCCTTCTCTCTCCAGTTGCTGATAATGTCTTTCCTGCAGCAATCCATGAAGCCCCTGTCACTCTCGAACTTCTTCATCGCCGTCTAGGACACATTAGCTTTCCAAATGTCCAGCGAACAATAAAAGCAACACTTGGTCTTTCTTATAAACCTCGTAACACAGATTCCAATCTCGATGTAACCACATTGTACAATCCATGCGAATTCTCAAAGCCGAAGAAAGTTATACGCCGCTATCCGCGTAATCGAGAGTCGAAGTGGGGTGATAGGTTTTACGCAGATGTCTTCTTTTGCAATCCTGTCAGTTATAATGGCCATACAGCTGGTATGATCTTCACTGATGGAAAGACAGGAGGACGTTATGGCTACACTTTCCCAGAAAAGAGAAATGCTTTCGATGCTTTGGTCACTTTTACTCGTTTCTTCCGAACTCAAAATGGTTTCCTGCCAAAATGTTTTTGTTTAGATGGTGGTAAAGAATTTGGGGGTGACAAAATGGTCGCCTGGTGTCAGCAGTATGGCATTGCAATCGAGCTTACGACAGCCTATTTTCACGAACAAGGTGGCCCTCAAGAAAGAACAAATAGGACAGTTTTAGATCCAATGCGTTGTGTCATATCAGATATGCGTATCCCATTCTCTCTTTGGCCAGAGATATTCCGTGCTGTCATTTACATTCTCAATCGTATCACCACATCGGTCTATGACGATATGACTCCCTACGAAGCACAATCTCGGGCTACAGGATTCGATACCTCTGAACACAAACCTGATAATTCTGGAATCAGAGTATTAGGCTCTCGTGTACTTGTATACATACCAAACGAGCGTCGAATAAAGTCGCAGAAAATGGATGCACGCGCTGAAGAAGGTATCTTAGTAGGATTTGAAAGGAACCATATTTATCGTTGTTGGATCCCCTCAAGACCTCTTGGCCATCAGCTTGTACGGTCGTCTCATGTTCGTTTCTTTGAGGGACGTTTCAATGGATTTTCTGCTGAAGGCCATCCTGATGAAATACCTGAGCCCTCTTCTAAGTTTGTCGATGAGGTTGAAATTCCCTTTCCTAATTCTCCGCCAATTGGAGGGGACTCAGATAATTCTAAAGAAAATGGCTCAGTAGGGGGTGCACATTTGGATGATGAAATACCTCCGCTCCTCGATGCAAGACACGACATGCCTGCTGAAGAAGATCCTTTGTTTGCACCTCTCCCACAACTCCCTAGGCGCGGCCGTGGTCGACCTCCCGGTGCCAAGAATAAACCCAAGTTGACAGCTGGACCTAGTTCATTCGATCTCTCTAAGCCCGAATCAGATATCCGTGTCACTCGCAGTAAAGCAAAAGGCTCAAATCCTATTCTGCTTGTAGAGTATCAGTCGTATCTATCAGCTCTCATTCCTGACAGCGATCCAAAGACCTTTCGTGAAGCTCTACTGAGTCCCAGTGCTGCTCTTTGGGAAGTATCTATGAGGGAAGAATTGACAGCTCTTGAAATGAACGATACTTCGCAGCTCTTACCTCGCTCTGAGCTTCCTTCAGGACGTGATATCATTCCAGGAAGATGGGTTTATAGGCGAAAGACAGGGAAAGATGGCCAGCCAACCCGTTTTAAATCACGCTATGTTGCAAAGGGCTTTCATTAAAGGGAAGGCCTAGACTACATAGACACTTTTGCCAGTACAGCACTCTCCAGCGTCTGTAAAGCTCTTCTCGCACTCGCCGCTTCCATTGACTGGCAAGTTAAACAAATGGATGTAGTTACCGCCTTTCTCAACCCTGAAATCGACACTGATATATACATGGCATGTCCAGACGGGTTACCTACTCCAGATGGATACCCACTCAACCGCTGGATGTGGAAACTTAAGAAGTCACTCTATGGTCTCAAGCAGTCTCCACATCTCTGGCAATCAAAACTTCGTTCTGAAGTTGCCCAATTTGGTTATAAGCCTTTACTTCTTGATTCTTCCGTTTATCATAGTGACTCTGATGAAACTTATCTTGTTACTCATATTGATGACTTTCTACTCATTGGTCCCGAGGCTGGTGTTTCGAAATTGCAAAGACACCTACATGATTCTTTCAAAATGGTGGATATGAGACCTGCGGAGTTTTATGTCGGCGTCCGTATTGCACGCAAACGAGCAAATCGAGTCCTCTATCTCCATCAAGATGCCTATCTTGAGAAGATTCTTGAAAAGTATAGCCTCAAAAATTGTGCTCCAACCAGTACACCAATGCTTCCAGGACAGCACCTGATTCCTTTTGAAGGGACTGCCTCTACAGCGGAAATTGAGCTCTATGCGTCGATGGTTGGTTCTGCAATGTATGCTGCTACTCAAACAAGACCAGATATCACCTATACCATGACACAGCTCTGTCGTTTTCTTTCTAATCCTTCTCCAATTTATATAGCAGCAGTTCGCCATCTTTACCGCTTTTTGCAAAACTACCCGTCTGGGTCTTAGTTTTGGTGCCGGCTCTAACTTACAGCTTCACGGTTTTACTGACTCCGATTATGCCCAAGATTCTGAAACGCGACGCTCTCATGGTGGATGGGCTTTCTTCCTGAAAGGTGCCTGTTTCTCTTGGCGTTCGTATCAAATGAAGAGGGTTACTTGTTCTTCAACTATGGCAGAAGTCTATGCTATGGCTGAAGCAGCTAAGGAGGCTGTGTTTCTTCGAAATATTTTTCGAAGTATCAACTACAACTCAGACGACGCAAAGATAGTCCGCCTCTACTATGACAATCAGCCAGGCTATAGGCAAATAAAAGGACAGGGCGTAACTCAAAAGATCAAACATTACGATGTACCTGTGTTCTTACTGCGGGATTATATAAGCGACAAAGTAATTGAATTGGAATGGAAATCAGGATTAGAAAATGCTGCAGACGGGTTCACAAAGGTATTGTCGTCTGTTCTTTTTAAAAAGTTTGTCGGACAACTAAATATGACTACCTTGGATGCTTGATGAAATCCTGTAAAGTTTCGTAGGTAAGGGGGTGTGTCTAGGGGTAACATTTCACCTACTCATGTAAACGAAGCTAGACAGGTCACATGACCTTCACAGCAGTACATAGATTTCATCAGTAGCTACAGGGTTCTTCAGTCAACATTTACAACGTAATACCGTGTCCCACACATCTTTATTGAGAGATGAGAACTTGATATACGAATGGGCTCTTCCCGTACGTCGAAAAAATTATCCCAATGGTAACTATTAAAAACCTTTTCCCCCTAACAAATCCAAACCCAAACCTTCTCAATTTCTCTGATTCACTAAGTTTGCTTCTAGGATAAGGAAAGAAATCATTAGGAAAAATCACCTTAAACAACAGATGTGAGCTCATAAATGTGCTGTGTTATGAACGTGAATCAAATCAATTTAATATTAGCCAAAAAGTGCCCGAGGTCTCAACAGATATAATCTTGGGAGTGAACCAAGTCCCCACAAAGCCTTTCATCTAATGTGGATCATTATCATGGGAAATAGAAGAGATTCAGAAATCGGCACGTAACGAATTATCGCGTTCCATGCTTGAATTTTTCGAGATAGAGTCCTCATCAAGTAGGGTTGATGGTCCATGGAAGAAAGCCTTTTTGACCAAAAAAACTAGTGAATACTTTGGATGTAAGAAATTTGAATCTTTAAACATATATAAATACTTAATTTTTCAAAGCGCTTAACGTGCGCTACGAAATTGTAGTAAACAATCATAGAGAAGCTTGCGGAATAGTTATCAGGCACCGCACACGTCGGAAAATAGCCGCAGCCAATTATCCTGACAAAGAAGTCGCTGATCTTCCAAATCTTAGAATATTCCCGGAAAAACAAATAATTAGAATCATGTGCATTTTTCAACAGACGTTCCCACTTATTCCCCCAAAGGTATCAAAATCTCTTAAGCGTAAGGCTCCATCACAGACTTGACAAGATTGAAGAAAGAAGCAGCTTCAAGCTGTGCTGGGTAGGGAAGTAAGTCAAGAACTAATTTTGGTGACAATACATAGTCGATGCTAGCTGACGACTTTCATGTTAGCCTACAAAGCAACTCAGAGAATATGAGTCGTTAGGCAATACCCTGGTAATCAGGACCATTGGATGGAAATGGTCTAAAATTGTTTGGGAAGGTATAAATCTATATATGACTTAGGTATGCTTACTAAGAATGGCCAGCGGCACGGTCTCTAGAGCATGAGATGGTGATATAGACGCAACGGATGTTCATTAAATTTAAATTGCCAGGTGTACGGGTATGGATACTGCTCCGAAAATTTTTAATTTAATGTTGACTCGATGAAAAAAGGCTCGAGCCGGCAATGACGAATTCTTCAGCTTCCAGTGGTGTCGGTGTGTTACGGCGCATGATAGATGAAGCGGAGATCGCCGTCTACTGTGAGTATCCTAGTAATAACTAGGCGAGTAACTTAGAGAGGATATACCTGAGAATAGATCTGGTGAGTTAACTGAGTTGGCGTGATGCCAGGAGGTTGGAACTGAAGGACGAGAGGTCAAGATAAGCAGTAAGATAATTTGAGAATTTTGGACCACGAAGATATAAGATTGAGAAGCTGAAGAACTACTTTAGGGTATCTCCAACTTCATTAAGTACAATGGCAGGCGTAGGTTCACTAGGCGCAAGACTGGAGGCGTAGGAGAGGGCGTAGCGTACGACATACTGAGGAAGGACGCCTCGTGGGAACGCGGAGGGCTTGCTAGAGAAGTGGTAAATGGGAAAGCGGGGAGTCGTTCTAGATAGAGGGGCCGGAGGTGACGGTAGGTCACTATGGTTGGCAGAGGACGAGAGTGAGATGTGATTAGAATTATGTAACTATTCCTAAAGACAGAAAACAAAGCTTGAAGATCTCAGTCTCGGAAATGAAAACAACACAACTGTACTCGCTAGGCAATAAGCCTAGTTGTGTGGTGTTCTCTGGTATAATTTGAGTAGCCTGGGAACCTACTCCACTTGGGAAAGAGACACCTCAGATCACATTTCGCGCGGAGAAAAGTTGATGGATGACGGAGGTATGTCTGGATAACTCAGGTTTTTTGGGACGTTCCCCTGGGTGGGTATTCACGGATGAGGGTTGACTTGGGGTGAAGAAAAAGCCACCATAACTTCGCAGTGGTACTTGCAAATGAAATCTGAGGCATGAGTGCTCCTCTTGTGAATTGAGTCATCTTTTCTGTACTTTTCTTTGATATTGTGTCATAGCTAGATTGCTGCATACGCAATTAAAAACTGATACAAAAAAAATTGAGCGTTGTGCGTGCCAAGGCTTCGGTTGCGAGAGTGCAGGCGACATTATAAGCATCGCCATGGTTGGATGGTGCGGTGGTACATCGTCTTGGCCGGTCTACCAAGTAGAATCTGGATAGCTTGGACACACATCCCACTCAAGACAGTAGATCGCTGGTTCAAATCCAGCAAAACACAACCACCTTTCTCGCGGCGCTGGTATGCATGGATGACGAAGGCATGCTTGGATAACCAAAGGTTTTGAAACGTCCCTTTGGTGGGTACTAACGGAGGAGGGTCGACTGTTTGTGTAAGCGAACATACCTCATAGTAATATTTGCGAATGAAGTCCAGAGCATGAGTGTCTCCAACGTCAAAAGAGTCATCCTACATGTATATATATTACCGGTCATGTGTCATAGCTCTATAGCTGAATACTGCGAGCGGATGCATTTTTAATTATAGTCAGCTTTAGTTATGTAGTCATGTAGTATATAAGGACTGGGAGTTATGCAGGCATCCAAGGTGATCGGTGCGTACATGCACATAAGAAGAGCGGTCTCTCTGGTTGAACCTAGAAAGAGAGCCTTAGTGATTTAGTTGTAATACGAGATTGAGTCAATAACGTTTACAAATACACATTAAATGATTTTAAAAAAAACCCAGTTGGGCTAAGCTAGGAGCCCAAAATCATGCCTGAGGCATCTATCCAGAATCCTTATAACTAACTACGTGCTAGATTTGAGTGAGACTTTGAAAGATTATGTCGTGGTGAGCCCCTCCAACTCTAATTATCAGAGTTTTCTCGGATTTTTCTCATTGAACCTTCGCCAAGGATGCCTGTCCATAGCACGGTGTATAGGCTCAGCATTTTCTACATAAACGGGATAGCTCAGAACAGTCGCATCAGATGTGCTCATTTGGACCAGGATTCCCAATTAGTCAAGCGATATTTATTATAGTTATCTCTCAACACGGTCTTCTAGTATCGTTTTCACAAAGTTCACCAGGATCAGATAAGTTACTATGGCTGTAGCCTTACTTATCATCACCTTGCTTTTCTCTTCTTGATCATGTATGAGTTGCAATACGATGAATTTCCGGAACACACTCAGCTCTCCATACGGTGGTGGTTAATTGGATCAAGTTGGCCTCATTTGTTGCGAAGGGTGGTGTGTGTGTGTTTGTAGTACTACTTTCGCGATAGACTATCTAGCACATTGGGCTCTTCTCTGACCCAGGCCACACCTTGTACAGTGCTCCTATCCTCTCTTGTTACTTGAAAGATCATTGATATATTCCCCTTGATGAATAGCCATTCAGCTCAGTGTTTACCCGTGGAATTCAGCCACATTTTCCACGGAACCTTCTACCCAAAAAAAATAAAAATGGTAGCAATGGAAACTGCGTGCGCGGGATAAAGCCTCAAAAAACCTGCGGCCCCAGCCACGCGAGGCCTAGACACCGGGACCACATGAGGTGTGCATATTCATCTATATCTCCCTTCTTTGTAACAGTCGAGATCGACTTGATCCAATCCGCCATCTCCGTATCGAGTGCTGGGTACGCTCCGGAAACTCATCGGATGGCTTTTCCTCCATGATCAAGGGTGGGTGACGAGTAGGGCTCCGACCCTACCATCTGATCTGACCGTGGTTAGCTTTATGGTAGTGGTGATAGGGGAATGTGTTGAGAGATGAAGACGATACAGACGGCGAAAGCGATTGGGAATCCTCGTCGAAGTGAGGACTTTGTTACTCAATCTCGGCTCTGCAGACTCTACAGTGAGAGCTGGAGGTTCGTAGGGGACACTACTGACAGGTGTTGAGAATAGTCCCCCTCCTAGTGGGAGTATGTGTGTGTTTGTGTGTGTGTTTGTGTTTTATTGTACTACTTGAGTCTATGACTATCTAGCACATTGGGCTCCTCTCTGACCCAGGCCACACCTTGTACAGTGCTCCTATCCTCTTTTGTTACTTGAAAGATCATTGATATATTCCCCTTGATGAATAGCCATTCAGCTCAGTATTTACCCGTGGAATTCAGCCACCTTTTCCACGGAACCTTCTACCCAAAAAAAATAAAAATGGTAGCAATGGAAACTGCGTGCGCGGGATAAAGTCTCAAAAAACCTGCAGCCCCAGCCAGGCGAGGCCTAGACACCGGGACCACATGAGGTGCGCATATTCATCTATATCTCCCTTCTTTGTAACATTCGAGGTCGACTTGATCCAATCCACCATCTCCGTATCGGGTGCTGGGTACGCTCCGGAAACTCATCGGATGGCTTTTCTTCCATGATCAAGGGTGGGTGACGAGTAGGGCTCCGACCCTACCATCTGATCTGATCGTGGTTAGCTTCATGATAGTGGTGATAGGGGAATGTGTTGAGAGATGAAGACGATACAGACCGCGAAAGCGATTGGGAATCCTCTTTGAAGTGAGGACTTTGTTACTCAATCTCGGCTCTGCAGACTCTACAGTGAGAGCTGGAGGTTCGTAGGGGACACCACTGACAGGTGTTGAGAATAGTCCCCCTCCTAGTGGGAGTAATTAACAACTCTCCACGACAGATTTACAGACTCCTTTACTTTCCCACTTGCTTCACCAAGTGATATAATCTGTGCCTAACAGCCACAGGCTTTTGCAAACCAACCCACTCAATAGCCTGAAGCGCTACTTTATTCCTCATTCTGAACTCTCAACTACACACAAGATGGTGTCTGGAACCTAAACGAAATGGCGGGCCCGTACTGTGATGGGCTATCACCCAAACAGTAAGAACAAAGTAAGCTGGTCGTGATACAGTCTATTTTCTAATTATCTAGGAAATGGTATCAATCTAGGCTGATTGACATATATAAGTAGCTCTGAACCCAGGGAGGTTAATATCCATTGGATTGGAAATCATCCGCACTCTTGAGGAAGCCCACCGAAGATTCGTATTTTCCGGATCGGCGATCACTTAGAATTCCATAAATGGCTATCAGCGATTCGTACATAGACACAGGTACATGAATGTACCGGCGCAGCCTTTTATACATATATTTTTTTTAATTCATAGTGTATTCGGATATCTAGCTATGACACATTATTTACATAATTTATATCCCCCAAACTCCTTCCTTGCATATAATTTACTCAATTACATGTTAATTTACAATTGGTGTTTCCTATTTTAATATCCTTTGTGTGCCACCATGCACTTGGATGTGTCCAATTATTAAGAGCTTCCTTTTTTAATTTAATTTCATTTAGCCCATTCAGGTATATCTAGCTATAATATTTACACAGGATGAAACCAAATTCGGTAAAAGCCCACCAAAACTGTTTGTTTCGTGTCTATTGGATTTCCGAGGTTTCCTACGGAAAGTGTGTTTGCACTGTTTGTTACGAATTTGTTTGATGTATTCTGGTTGTGGTGGTGCAAGGGTAATTTTCTTATTTCGGTTAGGGCTGAGGTAACGAGAGTTGGATTTGTTTTCTAGTTCTAACGATTTTTAAATTTTGGTTGTCTTGGTTACAGAAGAATTTACTTATTTAGGAATTTGATATTCGATATTCTTATAATTTGACATATAAATTTGTAACCTTTGATAATCTGAGCTTTGATTACCTTATTTGTCTCTTTGTAATCTATTCGCACGTTCGCACCTTCGTGACTTCGATAATTTGTCTTCGTCGAAAT